TTGGCGATGACCAATATATCGGAATTCTCTGATCTAATCTGGCTAGCGATTGCGGTTGATGTTGAGCACGGCGTTACCACACGTGATCTGGTGCGGATGCCTGACCGAGCGCCTTCAGCTAGGTGAGTCCACTAAAACATATGGTCAGCACCCAATGTCGAAAACTTAGTGCTATTTATTTTGGGGATTTATTTACCGCTACAGATCACTCCCCCCCTAGTGGGGCAGTGACGACCCTAAGACGTGGCCAGCCAGAAGTTTAAACCCAACGAGTTTGTCGTTGGTAAACACTCTTCTGATAGCTTACTAAATTTAGCAGCTTCTGGTCGTCTTTCCTTACTATATGGGACGGAGGTACAACATAGTAAAAAAAGAAAATGTACATGGAAAATTTCGGATCCTCATAAACGTCATCGTTCTTTTCCAGCCGTCCTGGAAAAGGAAAAAAAATGTAAGTGCATGTCGAAAATACACTCGTATGTGCGTAAAAGCACAATGTCGGCGGAAAAAAAATGGAAAATAAACTCATGAACACGTAATAGCGTTGAAAAAAATTGTTTTTTTTTTGTTTTTTTTTAAATAGAAATAAAAATATATAAGCATATTAAAATTGTTTTTTTTTTAAAAAAATAATATAAAATGTCGAGAAGTGCCTTACGTGCAATAGTCGTTTAAATGTTCTGGAAATCTCACCCTTCTTCCAGAACGCGTCGTTTTAAGTTTATTTTCGGATACTGTCGAAGTATCATCGTGTGTGTTGGTTGTCGGATGAGGTATTATAAGTGTCGGAGTCGTGTCGTTCGATTGTATTGAAGGAAAATCCACGTAGATAGGATTTCCTTCTAAATACGCTGCTTTTAAGCGATCGATACTGATGCTATCGTTGGTTCCGTTCTTATCGACTATATAGTACTTAGATTCACGTTGAAGAACTTTGAAGGGTCCTTCGTATGCTGATTCGAAGGGTCGTCGATGCGAGTCTCGACGAACGAAAACGTGTGTACTATATCGTAAGTCAGGTTGAACGAAAACATCAGTTGATTGCGGCCGAGTGGAAGCAGGTTTAACTGAACGCATTGTGTTGTAATCCTGCTCGTGTAGGAGGTTAGATCCATGTTCGTTGAAGAAGATGAAGGACCCACAAATTCTCCTGAAAGTCGAAGTGTCGTTCCATAAACCAGTTGAGCCGCAGTGTATCCAATGTCAGCTTTCACTGCATTGCGAATACCTAGTAAGACGAGTGGAAGAGCGTCAGTCCACTGAGAAATGTTTGCAGCTGATAGTGAAGCTTTTAGCTGTCAGTAAAAACGTTCAACCAACCCGTTTGCTTGTGGGTGGTAGGCGGTCGTTCGGAAGCGAGTGATTCCTAATAGTGCGGTCAGACGACAGAAAAGTTCAAATTCGAACTGGCGTCCACGATCTGTGGTGATGGTTGAAGGGCAGCCGAAGTTTGCTACCCATGGTTCGACGAAGGCGCGGGCCTTGTCCTTGATAAGTACTGCCTCTGGCCATCGAGTGAAATGGTCTACGCAGGTTAGGAGATAAGAGTATCCATTTGAATCTTGTAAAGGTCCTACCAAATCCAGATGAACATGGTCGAAACGAGCATCGGGAGTTTTAAATGAGCCTAAGGGACATTTGTCGTGTGTAATAACCTTAGATTTTTGGCAGCTTACACAGGAGCGTGCCCACTCTCCCACGTCTTTATTCATACCAGGCCAACAATGCCATTCTGCCATGAGCTTGATGGTTGCACGAACACCTGGATGAGAAAGTTGGTGCAACGCATTGAAGACGTTGCGTCGATAATGTTTCGGCACGATTGGGCGATCCCTACCTGTAGATGTGCCAAGTAGTAAGGTTTATTTACCTGTTCCCATTTGTTTAATGCACAGCTTAAGGATTGTTGACGATAACTCGTGCTGAAGATCAATGTCCTTTTTTGAAGCTGGGCGAGTTTGAGAAAGAAACTGTTCAAGGGAGTTATGCGAGACGAGGCGTCTGCGACTACATTGTTTGCTCCAGAAACGTGTTGAATGTCTGAAGTAAACTGCGAAATGTAGTCCAGTTGACGAGACTCACGTGGTGAGTACTTGTCTGAAGGAGAGCTTAACGAGAAAGTAAGCGGTTTATGGTCAGTAAAAAGGGTGAACTTACGGCCTTCTATATAATGCTGAAAATGTTCTACAGCACAATACATAGCTAGGAGTTCCCTAAAAAATGCTGTACCTGGATTCAGTGTCTAGCAACCGTCTAGAGAAAAATGTCAAAGGTTGCCAGGAGTGGTTAACTCATTGTTGTGAGACTCCTCCGATTGCCGAGTCGGATGCCTCTACTGTGATATAAATGGGTGCTTCAGTGTCCTGATGTGCAAGCATCGTTGCTTTAGCGATGCGTTCCTTAATCGTGGAGAGTGCTTTTCGTGCAGTGTCGTCTAGATTGATGGATTTCGCACTTCCACGGAGTTAGTCCGTAAGCGGTTTCATAAGTGACGCGCGCTTCAGTATGAACCGTCTATAGAAACTTACAAGGCCGTTAAACGTGCGTGATTGCTGGATGGTGGTCGGTTCTGGGTAATCCAGAATGGCCGCTGTAAGATCCATTTTGAATGCTTTGTGTGTTTGTGAAAATCCCTCCATGTATATACTTGCACTTTGTTCCTATTGATCCTCTTAGTTGTACATTGTTAACTTTTTGAATACATTTGAATTGTTAATATTTGTATTTTATTATAGTTTTCGTTTTTACTACACCTTCACCAATTCCCCATGTTTCTTCCCGAACTGCACTTATGTTATTTTACTTTATACTAAGTCTGGGCGGCAGCCATTTTGGTTTGTTCCTGCTTTTGATTGCTTGACCTGTGTTGACTGGAATTGTGCATTTCGGTTGTGAATAGAAGCACTCTTCCAGAATTCAAAACACTCTGTGTTATAGAGCGACCAATTATTACCTTTTGAACGAATCTGTACGTGATCTATCCAGACAGGATAGAATAACATTTATTTGTGGTGATTGGTAATTTTCTTGCATCCTTTATCAACTTTCTTATTTATTGTAGTTTATATTTGATCAATTGAACAATTATTGGTTGGATAGCTGAGTGGTTATATTTGTTTAGGTAATAATGTACACTTAAATTTATGATAAATTATAGAACCGTCATCTTACCCAATTACTTTGTTTTGGTTTCAATCGGGCGAGGGCGCGTAGCTAACTCATCCAGACAGCTGTCCTTCACTCCAAATCGTAGTTTGGATCTTAAAGCCGCCACTTTGGTTCCAAGGGGTCGGATGCCTTGCGCATCTATAGTGTGTCCTAGGACGTCTAATGAGTCAGCTCCGATTTAGCATTCCTGAACGTATACAGTAATGCCGTGATTTTGTAGTCGTTCGATAACAAGATCCAGATGCTTGAGATGCGATTCTTTGTCCGGACTTGCGATTAGGCAGTCGTCAACATATGCATGTACGAAGTTGAGACCTCGAAAAACGTCGTCTATGAATCTTTGGAATGTTTGAGCAGCGTTTCTTAGACCGGAAGGCATTCGCAAAAATTCATACAGTCCGAAGGGAGTAATGGTGGCGGTTTTCGGTATGTCGTCTCTGGCCATAGGGATTTGGTTGTACGCTTTAACCAAGTCGATTTTCGAAAAGACAGTTGTACCTTTCAAGGTGGCTGTCAAATCGTGAATGTGAGGCAACGGGTAACGATCGGGAATGGTTTTCGCATTCAATCGCCAATAGTCACCAGTTGGACGCCAATCGTTGCTGTCCTTTTTAGGGACTATGTGCAACGGAGATGCATATGGGCTATTTGACGGTCGTATGATTCCTAAGCCTATCATATGGTCGAATTCGTTTTTCGCTAACCTTAGCTTTTCGGAGGCTAGTCGTCGTTCTTTAGAGAATACAGGTGGTCCTGTAGTCGTGATGTGATGTGTAACGTTGCTGGTTACACACGGTAATTTCGGTTGCGTTTGGTGTATCCCAGGATACTTATCAAGTAGTGATTGACAGAATTAGTCTACCGTGTGCTTAATTGTGATTGGAGATAATCTGCAACCGGAAAAAGAAGTTACGCAAACAGATAAATTAGTGTTTCCATCTACTAGCCTCCGTTTGCGCGTATCGACGATCAGATTATGGTGCTGAAGAAGGTCTATACCAATGATTGGCATAGAAACATCTACAACAGCGAAGATTCAGTGAAAGAGTTTGCGTAAACCCACGTTCAAATAAACGTACCTATTACCGTATGTGGCGATAAGCTTTCCGTTTGCCGCCTGTAGATTTAAAACCGATTCGTGAAGCCGGTCGTTAGAATTCGCTGAAAGAACGGTAACTTCTGAGCTAGTATCGACGAGGTAGCGAACTTTCGTTATCACATCTGTAACGCATAACACTTATATCACGACGAGCTCACCAGTGTAGACCACCAACGTAGATGGTCTATATCGAATGATTGGAGGCCTACTCGAGTTGGACGGGAATGGTGTGACGAACCAGCTAACGTCGAAGTCACACCGCGTGGTCAGCACCTTACGTGAACTACCCCATTGACGTATCAAGGTACTATAGATGCTTTGAAGATTGTACAACACAGAGGACGTAATAAAGAAATATATTAGTTAAAGTCGATACAAGCGGAAGTAAGACCACTGCCGCACGGACCAGTTCATGGCGTACGATTACCTGGTGCGCGCTGGTTGTCCTTGAACCCGACGAGGATCGATGCTTCGTTCGATATTCAATGACCCAACTGCCGGATGATTTGGCTAGGGCTCAGCGGAATTTCACTGGCCTTACACTACAAATAACTATCACACTGACAAAAATCCATGCGATTGAGTGACCAGACTACCACCCATTAGACAATGAAAAATGCTCAGATCCGTACTGAAACAAGAAGAAGCAAGAGCAAAGAAATCCATCCTTTTTTCCAAGCTCGTGAAAATAGTATTGAATATTGACAATCGGACCATTCAGGTGAGGTGGAGTATACAATCCAGTCGGTACTGTGTTGTTTTGTTACTATTGTGTTTTTGCTGTTTTCTGGTCTATAGTTTTGTTTGTACGGTGAGTTTTATAGTAAATAACTGGTAAAGCACCGCCTTGGTTTTCATTTGCTTTTAACGTACAATGTTTTATCTGAAAGTTAGGACGGTTTTACATCTACATTGGTTTGCACAAATGTAGTTGTGTTCGTGTGTGTATTCTTGTTGTAAAGTGTCAATACTAAGAGCAAGTATTTTCAGACATACACTTGATGCTGCTTACAGCCTCTCAGTTTGATGATCAGGTAACCAAATATCACATTGGTCTCATGTTCGTGTGTACTTCTTTTGTTAGGTTTGCGAGGTGTTCATGTTTAGATAATCAAAGGATATAACTATATGTGAAGGCTTTGTGCTCCCTACACTCATCGGTGCACATTGTTATTTCGGGTATGACATACTGTCCTACAACTGGTACGGGAACTCATTTAGGACCACCTTTTTGTAGTGTTTTATCTCAAACTCCGAATAGCTAAAATTTAACCAAAAAAATGCACTTACCGGATCTAAGATGACACTCCTGACCCCATTGTACTGTTCTGCGAGCAAGAGTTGCATCGATTGGAACTACTATTTCAACTTCAAGGGACATTTTACCCTAAAAGCATTTTTGAGCACACTTCTCAACAGTAACCCTACCACTCTACCAGCGCAGCTATGTTTACGTGTGCACTTGTTGCGTCAGTGGCTACTTGTACTAATGCTAGCCATCCAATTATCGAAACCACTATCTGTTGCAGTTTCAACTTTCATCGTGCAAGTGCGATTTCTTAGTAGGCCTTTTTGTTCAGCACGTGGTGAACCGTAAAACAATACCTTCTCTGGGCTGCATATATCTTCACCGTATTTGCTGTTGAGAGTTACATAATATGCTCCTTCTAATCGTCCAAGACTCAGTAATGTACGACTATATCATCATCCAAATTATCCTAAATACAAAATCTAATCAAAACATGGCATCTAATTAGAGGCTATCGGTAATTCTGTTTTAGAAACTGCTCATAGATTTGACACTTTCTGTCCATGTTTCCATTATTCGTTTTCATTCATATCAAGACCATTTGTATAGTTTGTATTTATTGGTTGATTTCCATGTGAGTCCAATGCAAAGCTCAGATGTATTATTTGCAGCATCAAACCTGAAGATTCTCAGGTCCTGTTAGTTTAAGAAGCTCGATTTTCACGACGAGCAAGCGTTGTATTGGTAAAGCTGTGGTATACCCCCAAAAGGTTGCAAGATCTCGAGCCGTCTAACCAATCAGGAAACCGAGATGATGATATATGCAGTTTGTTATGCTAAGACTTTCGCTAAAATATTCGCTTTAGTGTCTTCTCATCATAACTGGTGTCAGTTTGCGATGAAAACCCTAACTGAAATTCCCAATACTAATTTATAGAGCTTTGCACATTTACTATTGGCTCAGTTGTATAGAACAGTTTTATTCTGTTTATTATCACCAGCAACCTTATTTTAATACGTACTGTGAATTGTAGGAAATGGTATGTCCATATGTTGGTGGCAATATGAATAAAAAGTGTTGGCTGTTGAAATAGTATACTTAGGCTTAGTGTAAGGTAAGAAGCTGTGTACCGATGTGGGTGGCTCATGTCATTAGTCGTTTTAATAGGTCTAATAGACACCTCTACACTACGAGCAATTATAACCTACCTTTTTGTTGTAAAATATCTCCGAGCTGTTTTCCTACATATCAGGAACAATTCAGTAAGTAGTGATACTTAGAAATGCCAGCCACAGTGGCTTGTATATAATTTGTCCAGGTCAACTCAGAGGTGTTCATACTGCATAATGTATCTCAGTTTACAAATCCGCCTCACCTACTTCAGTTTAAGCAAATGGATAATAACATCATGCTTTGAACCAAAGTACTGTTTAAATCCACTTAAATAGGTTTGCATTTCGTAAAAAAAGTTACATTTGTAGTGGTTGATCATTGATCAAGAAGCTGAAGATCTGTTATTCATTCCGCTAAATATTTCCTAACACAAATGACTGAGGGTTTGCAAATTTTCATTGTCGTTGATAAAAATGCTCGAAATATCTAATGTTTCCATATCGCATGTCTTGGTTAGATGTCTATTTGGTAAAGAATGATACAATAGATTCCTGAATTCAATTGTTACCTGGTCTGAAAGTGCTACTGATATCAATCTTATTATTCAGTTGATATATACACCGACCAGATATACATGCTTCTGTACACTCGTTCTGAATATCGTTTTAGTATTTATACTGAGTTTAGACTATTTATCTCCTTCGATTTTATAGAATCAAGTTGAAGTACATCGGTTGAGGAGATATGAACAATTACGTGACAATAGGAAAGTTCACTGAAGTACAGTTATACACAGCAGTAATTTTAAGACCGTCTGTACTCTTTGAGAAACCGGAATGAGACAAGGTTGACTGTCAAATGTGAATCCACACTTTGCAACTACTTTCATTTCTCCGCTTGTTTATTCATTCCGCCCTTGTAAAATTAGCTAGTATCACTAGTGATTACCTATGAATGAGTTGTATTTCGTTCAGTATATGTCATGTATGTTTGGTAATGTCCTTTTGTGAGAGGATAAAATGGGATTTTTAGGGCTCCAGTCTTAAAAAAATTAAAATGACATTATATTACGAATTTTTTCTCGCCTTATTTAAATGGTTTCAAAATGTTAATTAGTATATCTCCAAATTCTTCCCATAGCATGTTGACTAGTGCCCTAGACCCATAAATTCCTGGTGAAACGGGACCTATTTCATATCAGTGAACGTTGTGGGTGAATGTTTCCAATAATCTCAGATGTGCATGCGAGTTTCTCCAACTGATTCCGGTAACAGCGGAGTTTTATTTGTTGGATTCAATCAAGATTATAGTAAATACTTTTTTATATAAATCCTATATTCATTTTGAGATAATATGAAGTACTTAGTGGAAATGTTATAATTTGCTTATGTTTTTAAGAACACTTGAGTCAAGTGTTTTTGTTTTTTATTACTTCCCTATAGCTCAACTACTTCCTCAACAGCGTGGCCTTATTTGAAGTTGTTTACAAATCTTAAGTAGACTAGTAAATAAGTGAACCTAAAGAATTGGACGATAAAATATTATGTGATGTTTCTGTTTGTATCAGTCTAAAAAGACGTATGAGAAAAAAGATTAAAGTTAACAAAGGTTATTAAATCACTTGATATAGACGAATAATGCGTTTATGGAAAAGGATATAGAATTAATAGATCTACATTTTCATGGTAGATTTTAACCCGTCTATCCTGGTTTCTGCAAGCATCTCACGAACTATGATTGTTGTAGTTCTGTTTCTCAGCTCTACTTGAACCAACACGCCCCCAAATGCCCTGATACGGCCGGGGGTGGGGAGAGTTATCTCTCCCTCTCGAAATGCTCTCACATGGCCACACGTTTATAACCACTGTCAGGGAAGTCCTACTCACTGTCTTCTCGCGACGGGGGTGTTGTTTATGAGATTGAGAGGACGAAAAGCGAATGTCCGGCGCTTCAACTGGGTTGGTGGGTATGGAGGATTCACCTAGGGGAGTTGGACAACCCTGATTTTAAACCAAGTAGTGAACTTTGGCTCCAGTATCCCGAGGGAATAAATGGCGTATGAACCAATTGTTAGTCACCGGTTACCATGGGACTGCATCTCCTGATGTTGCTCCACTACCTTGCGGATCAGAACTTTAGGTCGAAGGCTGCGGGTGTGGCCCTCTAAGAAAACCACCTGCTTCAGTTTGGGCACCCAGGCGGTATCACAGCCCACATACAAACCAAGGGACCTGTGTGGCGCATATGTATTTGGTGCCCCTTTGTACCAATATTTATGCGTTCAAATAAATAAAAATGAACCAACACTCGCTATTTTGTAGATCAGAGTTATATTTTGGCGTGAGCGCTAAGTTCCTGAAACGTTCTCCCATCATCTCATGTAGAATATAGGCCCGTTGTATAACTTCATAATGAATGACAAAGGAAAGATGAATAAACCATGAACATGATTTCGTAAGCTATATTTAGACAAACCGCATTTGGCGACGGTGGTAATAAAAAGCCGAATCTAGAATGTTAGATAAATTTTTTTCAGGCACTCGTTTACTCAGATAAACATTAAGATGAGAGACGGAAAAATCAAATGTGTCTACTCAGTTTAATTGAAACGTGATTGAATGTTTATAGGCGTGAAATGTACAAACAAACATATAGACACATGCGTACTATTATACATACATGTTCGAGGTTACATACATCAGTGACAAAATAACTGAGAAGATTAGAATAACTCATCTGTCGAAAAGTAACGAAAAACCTCGTAGGCGTGTGACAATACTAATTGCTTCAAGAGTAATAAGTAGCTTGAATTGAATAACATATGCCCCAGCCATCATAAGACAACTCTGCATACAAAATTGAGATGTCTTACTCAACAGTTGTTATGTTGTTCGATCTTCGGAGTTTAATACTGATACGCATACCTTCCATAGGAAAGTATAAACCAGCTACTTGAGTGAGAAAGCTTTATTGACTAAAACCAAATCAAGAGTATATGTAATCTCGTTCACAAATATACATCTTTTTCCCTTGGAAAATAAAGCCATATTTTCAAGCAAAGGCATGTTATTGCTTAGAAACTGAAACCAAATATCGGCCAATGGCGAGCGCTTATTTTTAGCCTTGGTTTGATTGATAGTTAGTCATCTGTGTAAATGACCGATAGTTAGTGTTTAGAAACCGGCTGGTGTGTATTTTAGACATATCAACTTAATAGTAATGTAAATTAATCCTGGGATCCTTCCTAAATACCTACTCTTTCGAATTCACAATAGTTTTCTGTGTTTTAGTGCAGCGTGAAGGAAGACGAAGCCCATTGGTTCTGTCCGTGGAACCGTATACTATAATCACGTACTGCAACTATCATCTAGATGGTTGTAAGTAGTCGTCAGCAAACCCTAATTAACCCGGTCTTCGTGATGGTCGGTTCTTTTCACCATGGCATATCCGCAATCCTGAAAGAACGGATGATCCCTGTTGAACATTAGTCAGAGATCAATCAGTGTAAGTATCTCAAACTTGTGGGTGGTCAGTCACTACCCGAATAGCTCAGTGGTAAGGTCTTGAACTGTTTCCCATAAGGTTACAGGCAAGTCCTCGTGAATGGTGCTGAGTATTACGAAACCTAAGTCAAGCAGGGCTTTCAAACATCAAAACATAGTCGCAGTATGTAATTATAATATACAATCCGATGAACAAAAGCATTGGGATTAGCCTCCGAAATGAAGGTTTTAGATGGAGTGAGCTTTTAACTTCTAGGCCGAATGTGCCAACCATCAAGTTTCTGCTCTACAAGTGTGACACTTATTATTTATTCTATTTGAGCATATAAATATTGGTACAAGGGAGCACCAGATATATATGCGCCACACAAAACAATGAGAATAGGAAGAGAAAAAGAATGTAAGGTGCGTATAGAAAAAGAGAGAACAATAACGACCACAGGTTAGTGTATGGAAGTCAAATAACAATAATAATAATGGGGGAAACGAAAAGGTACAACCAGAAAGAATTCTTTCAGTTAAGGAAGTTATAACCACTTTTTATGAAGAAAGTACAAGAAGGTTACAGCAGGATCGCCACTGGCTTCTATTCTGAGCCATATCTGATAACGTCTCTAGCCACTGTAGTGTGACACTATGTTATCTCTTAAGAAAACACATTTTACAGTCATGAATTTCATAAGATGGTCGCGCAACTTCATGGATTCATTAAAGTCAGATATTAACACTGTTGGATGACGGCTCAGTGGTCTAAAGGTTAATCATTTGCGCGAAACCGAATGTCCTGGGTTCAGTTCCTGCGTGCGGGATCGGGGATTCACATCGCTGAAGAGTCCCTTATCAGTACAAAACGGTCGTCCAGTGCTTCCAGGTATTCATTGGTGTTCTGACATTAATAGGCTCATGTGCTCAAGGAAATTCAACAATCTCCACAACTCCATATTGAAAATTTCATAAGAATTGATTTTGGTCAGTTGATAACTTCTTGCTTTATCAGACAAGAATAAATGCTTGCTCATTTTGCTTACAAACTCATTCTAAGTGTTCAGTCACTTTTTCCAAACAATTTCCTTGAGGTTGGTTTCTTAAAAAAAATTCAGTTTATCAATTTATGTGTCTACACCCGGGTCCTGTATTTTTATTAATTTATTACAGGTTGTTTTGCAGTTGGTATGCAAAATGGATTCAGAATTTTCAATTGTGATCCTTTAAAACAATTAGAACGTTATGGTAAGCATCCTAAATATGCGTGTGTACAACTATCTATCTATCTATATATTCTTATAGATAAAATAAATAGACATGAATGTATGAGAACTGAACCTGAGACTCGAGTCTGTTTGAATTATTATGAGAAAAGGTTTTAGTGATGAGGTCATCCGATTGTGAAGTGTAGATTTTTATTAAAGATTTCATTTTGAATCCTAGTTTTTGCTAGAATTTTGTGTCTTTCATCTGCTATGCTAGGCTATGCTACACGAATTTGTTCATTGCAGAAAGCTGCGGTTGGTTATTTATCTAAGATCATTCCGTGATGTTTAGTATGAAACAGAGAAGAATCTCCATAAATCCCTAAAGTAATATATACGTCTATTTAGGACTATACGTCCTACGTCGAAATAATGTGCTAATACACTTACCAAAGCAAATTCAAGTTTATACTTGTTGATACCTTAAATGAATCAATTCTGAGTTTTATTTCTTTCTTTAATACGTAGTCATCGTGAAAGTAGATTGCAAACAACTAGGTTAAACAAATCTAGTGTTAGATGAAGGCTTTTTTCTATGTTCTCAGAAAGTGAACACATTTGTAAATGCCTCAGCTTGTTTCATTCATAATTTCCGTGTAATTACAAGATATGTATCAAAATCCACTTATTCCACAGTGATTACTTCCATTCATATACGATGTAAAATAATGAGCAAAGTTTCTGGGGAACGTTTTTTTTATCAATCTGTGTGTATATAAAGAAGGTTTTCTTACTTCCTAGCACGATCTTCATTTAAAGCTGAATGATAAATGTCACTTCCTTATATATAGTTATTATCTACTAAATAACTAAATGTAGTCAGGGCTTATGGAGAACTATCATTGGAATTGATAACTTTAAGTGGCGCTTGTCAAGGTTATTCGATTTTCCTATTTTTATTTAGTTTTGTTATGGGCACTCTTTTAGAGATATCACTCATCGTCTAACTTCTCAGAAATCGATCTTCCACCTGGAGATTCTCTTTTCGACTTTGAATACATCGACGATATAGTCCTGTTTGGTGAAGATGATGAAAGAATGTAGTCTTCTGACCGCCTTAGGAAACAATGCAAATATGTTTTTGATGCGTTTCTCTCCTTCTAGATACAAACTCACCTCAGGATTGGTCTGCATTAACTCTTGAAATAACCATAGGAAGCGAAGTAGTTGGGTGTATTAATCGCTTCACTTACCCCAGGTGGGTTAGTGTGGGATGAAGTTTCGGGACGAATTCAGAATGCTCAATCGGCTTCGACAATTTGCGTCACTTGCAGTGTTGGCGATAATTCTTTTTGCCAATCGAGGGACGAGTTTAATATACGCTCTGTTCCACTTTATGAGTGTGAAACATGGTCTTTAAAATTAGGTAATATTACTATGTTACTGTCATTCGATCATAGGTGTCTTCGAAGCATTGCTAGAATATTTTGGGACCACCGAGTCGATAATTTCACCCCGTCGTGCTGATAGGGTGCGGTTTAGCATAGTGTGAATATCCAAAGTATCTTATTAAAACAGAATGGATTTTGTTCCATTTGCCATTGTTTAGGCATCAGGGAATACAATTTCCTATTTAATTTGTTTTCGAGACTAGAGTTTATTTATATAAATGACTACTAAACGTTTCCACAGTAGTCTGTCAGTCATATGTGGCGTAGAACCTGACATATATGTACATCGGTTCCATTTTGCTGCACCACATACTCACGATGGGATAAAATTATCAAGGCAAGTCCAAGGGTAGTAGATGCATTAACACTGTGGTGTGTGCTACTTATATTGACATAAGTGGCATATGATTTTAGTTCTAAACAGAAGGCCTGGAAGCAGAGAGACAAGAGGATCGAACAGTAAAGAATGGAAACAAGATGCAATTTGTATGAAAATGCAAGAACAATGAAGTCTAAGTCATTTTGAGACAATTGGTGGATATTTTGCAAATTAAGCATTTACTTAGATTTTATTAACAAGTCCTGTAATTTTGTGTTAAATACATTCGATTGTCCCCACCCGTGTTCTGTTCACTACAACACTATTAGTAGTAACAAAGAAGGTTGAACAGCGAAGATGCAATTCGAGAAGAATATGCAAATTAGTGGAATAATAAAAGATTACAAGAAAACTTGGGATAACAACAAATGAGTGTACGTTCTGCATTGCGAACAATTCTGAGCCATGTTACCCAAAGTATCTAACCATTGGTTACAATAATCACGCAAATCATAACCACGTAGTCTGAGCCTACCTACATGTCTCAGTCCAGTAGTCAGTGTCTTCATGGAGTGGTACCATGTGATGGCACCCGTAGCTTTCTTCCAACCTACTCCTTTACTAGCTGTCATCGCGCGTCGAGGTAGTCAGTGCATAGGCATACATATTACATACCCTAACCACTTATGTGTTCTCATCTAGCTATCAGATTAACTTTGAATTACATCATTTGTATATATAACCCCGTATTTCTTATTTATAATCACTCACATTAAAAAGAATTCGATATCCGAGATGGTACCGGTGTTGGCTACATGGAAATGTTATTTCGTACAAATTTACTTGGTATACTGGGTGGCGGTAATCATTCACGTCTACCAAGTAATGTCGCTTGTTTATGGGATGGAATAAAACAACAATTTGTCTTAGAAATCACCTGTGCTACAGATGTTCGTGGCATTCGTTTAAGACATGATCGGTAAGTGAAAATCTTAGTTGGTCTTCCTACTTTTTTATTGTTATTAATATTCGTATATAAATGGGTGCGGTTTGCTTATTGACTAATAAATACACGTTATGTTTAAATTTTTTATTAGGTTTACACCAGACAAGTGTATAACTGTTCGTTTGTGGTGTGACACGTTTATGGACAAGGTGATCTTGAGTGGTTAGGAGTATAAAGGTAGTCATCACTTCTTGGTTGCTGATACTGTGGAAGTATACTTTTTTTGAGGGGTCTGAGAAGGAAAGTGGTTTAGGCATGGTATTAACAACCTGAGCATGTGACCACATTACCCAAAACATAACTACCTCAGGATGATTACACACAGCTCTTTGTGAGTAGTTTTGGTTATGTTAACTACATTCTTTAAATATCTTCGATTGTCAGGCGAATATTACACCTACGCCATAAGTAACGGACGTTGGTTTCTTGTCAATTGAGACTTATCAGTACAGTACATATGCAATGTTCGCGGAAGGGGTGGTGCTAGAATCGGGGATTCGGAACCTTGTCACTTAGTGACACAGACAGGGGTCTTCTGATTACAACTGACATTTTTCTGTCCTAAATATTTATACCGATCACTGATCAATATCGTATCCTTCTAGCCATCAGTGCTAATTGAACTGTAGCCAAACAATCAAACATAACACAAGCAATGTTAAATCCATTTAGACCAGAGGCTATATTACAACTTGACTGACAGAATTTGTAATAACTACTAAGATCTAAAAAAACACGACATTGATAACTACTACACGGTGATTAATCAGTGCGTGAAAGTATCAAAATTATTAGATTTCGTTAACATAAATTCGTAGTCTACCATTGTCCAAAATAGAATTATAATAGGGGTAGCACATCGAACATGTAAGAAATCCATGTTTATGCATCAAAATAAACGGCGAGACTATAATTTATGGGCAAACCAATCATATATAACAGGTCTTAGATTTCAGCACGAAATTCATTCATCCATTTGGCTAAATAGTGTTTTGGCATTTTAGCTGATATCAGTTCGTGATTAAAACTCTAAATCTAATTTCTAACCGTAACCATTAACTGTAAATCAAAATTGTAATTTCTCACACTGTTTTGTAACCGTCATTTAGTCCTAGTTAGTGGATGGACATTCTCTAGGTCACTTCAGCGTCGCTAAAAGGTTGTCCATAAATTATTGTTTCACCAAATAAACATTCATTTAGTCATTATACCTACCATAATGTGTATACAAACGTATCTGTTATTGATATATAGATTATATTTTTCCGTAAGAATATTTAAATTAGATAAACTTTCGAGTATAAAAATTATATATCAAAGTGGTATTTAATAAACCAGTAGAAATTCGAAAAGTTATATAAAAATCAGTGTGTACACTAACTATCAATAGTCTCATGTCATGAAGTACGATAATAATGAAAATGAAAGATTTTTTAAAATATTAGATACAGATTATCTGATTGAGATCCACGTGATGATCATAATCGATGGTTACAGATTTTAATGTAGTGTAACAGAAAATCGATCGTGCAATTGCTTAGATACATTCATTTCTTTGCTTCCTTTCCATCTTGACTTCCAGTATCCTTTACGCTCTGTCCTTTCATACCATATTTCCAATATTCAGTTTTTTTTAAATTTTATACTTATGCTAAGGCGATCACAAGAACAGACATATTCTGTTAACAATGCTAAAATCTTCACTATAAGCGATAACCACAAATGTCTTTCTTTTGTAATTTAATTTTCCACATGAGCTTAACCTTTTTCCGATTACTTGTCATTGTTTTCAGTCCTCTAAATTTCTGTATACTTGTGGGTTACTTTTTTATTAATACATACATAAATACAGAATTGTACCGATTCGTGCTGTACTACCTCGAACATTAAGTTTTCCTACCATTTACCTTCTCCCTATATTAGCCGTTACGTGTTGGTGTGTTTTGTGTATATGCGTATTGGTTGATGTTATCGATTATGAAGAGAATCGATCATATCAGAGTAGACCAATCACCTCCTAATTCCTCAAGTGTTGTAGGCCACTAAATGAATCTTCATAACGGGACACAATACATTGCTATCACATAATAGCTCAGTTGTTCACACAAAGACAAAACAAATGTTCACCGTTTCTCAGTTTCCATTGGTATCCCAGGTGAAATCAATCCATTACTAGCACACCTCTGTACATTCAGCAGTACGACTTCGCCTTCGGACCTTGGGTTTGCTGCTTTTAGTCCTACTTTTCTTCAACCGACCTGTCTGGCATAGCAGGACCTTGAGGAACGGTTGTTCCAACCAGTATAGTTCGATTGGTTCATCGCAATAGGCAAGCCCGACCACCACATCAAGGTAGCAACAACGACCGGGTAATAATACAACCTACGAATATTAAATTTCGATCTAAATTTTATTTTAACGATAACCAAGTAAGATATCATCCTATAGAAGTGCATTAAGTGAGAAATTTTAAAATTCTACATTCGACAAAATATTTTCTATTATCATAAGATCTGAAGACCAATCATCTTCTAGATCAGTTAAACAATAATTGAAATATCGGCATATATATGACTTGGTTTTTCCTCTATTTCAATACTGTTCAGTTAAATAGGGCACCTGGATCTGTAAAACTCTTCAGGAATCCGTTACTGAATCGTTGGATATTCAACTAGTCAACTCTGTAAACAACAAAAGATGACTGAATTTTAACGTTCGATACGATTCAGAAAAAAGAAACAATTCTGTGCGTATGCACAGACACACAGGAGAGTGATAGATATTTTGAATTACCTCCTTAGTCAATGATCCATGTTATTCGTAGATTGAGTACGTCGACATTATCAATGTATCTCCGGAAATCTCTAACTCATAAACTCGGATTAATTTTTCAATAAGTAATGACGTAAAAAAGTTAGAGAAATATTGTAGGGCTGTTGATAAAGTTGGTCAAGAAAAATAAATGAATACATTTTCAATGTCAATAAAACAAACCTTTCCGAAAAATCTCATTTGTTCCTAATATTATCATTATCGTCTTCACCATCACCTTTATTTTATTGCCTTCGATGGAAGTAATGAGTAACGTATTTAGTGTGGAGTTATTTTTTTGGAGTCAAATATTTCATCAAAGTATGTCCAAATATAATAGTTGTCTCAAAGGAGTACCTTAATTCAGGAGGATTTCCGACAAACTAGCGATAAGGATTTAACTTTCCAGTAAGTCATCAGCCATCATCAAAGCAGAACATGACAAACATGTGCATCGTATTAAGCTGTTGTATCACAGTAGCATGATTAGGTGCATATGGTTGGGAAGTTGAAGCCAGTCAACAAGACGAAACCCTGAACATAATTTTATTGTTAGATATCATTTGGTTAGTCATCATCAATGTATAGACTACAACACATACATATACATTAACTCAAGTTCCCATACTACATTTTGATACGTCTTCTAATTGAACACTAGATTCGGTTCCTAAGCTCTTCTAGTAACCCCCAGGTTCGATCTATACACCAACTTAAACACGAGAGAAAAGGTGGGAGATATATAAGAAACGCTTTACTCCAAAGGTTCGTTTATGCACAGAAAATCTAGGGTTTTTATAGTATTTTATATGGCCTTGGGTTTCCGGAAAATTCTGGAACGCTACTAAACATAGTAGCAGTATAGATAACCATCCAATCAGAAACTCGCTACATGAATTTTCACTTTCTAGATGTTTCTGGCAAAGCTTCTAGTGAATACTGATTGGATAAGATGGTTCTCAGTGTTTTCAGAGCCTTTTTGGGGCTTTTTTCGAGTTTTCTGGATCTCTCCAACACGTTTGCACAACAATATGAATTCAGTAAAGTGAATGGCAAACAAATCGAAGTGATTGTTGTACAACATCAGACAACACTAAATATTGAGAACATACTTTTAAAAGATAGTGAGTAGAGATGTCTGAATAGATACTAGCAATCAAAATGTAGGGTAAAATAGACGGTGAGTGGATCTGCGTCGCTTAACATCTCCAACCACAGATGATGGTTATCGGAAGGGCACTAACTAGGTAGTCTGCATCTAACGAATTTAATCTTTGACTTTAGTCATAGCAAAACTATTCATTTACGATATATATATATATATATTGATGCGTTTGTAAAATAATCTATATGTTAAAGGTGACATAGTCCTGACTATAACTGGTACATTGACGTGATGGTCGGTCTTGTCTGTCGTGACAGACCAATCGAACTATATTAACTGGAACACTCGTTCGTTTATGTTCTACCATGACAAGTAGGTTGGTTGGATGGGGAATAATAAAACTAAATGCAGCAAAGTAAGGTCTGACAGCCAAGTGTATTTGTGGTGTGACAGCAACGTATTTCTATCAGGCAATCACATACAGTAATGATTCTTTCTCATACTAGATGGAAGTTCGAGAATATTGACCCTAAAATTGTCAAGCTCTACATTACCTCGTGCATTTCGGTCGCCCGGAGTAAGTTATTTAAGGAATGCAGTTCACATGTCTAAAACTACTTACAAAAAGCTGTGTGTGATCATCCCGAGGTAGTTATGTTTTGGGTAATGTGGTCACATGCTCAGGTCGTTAATACCATGCCTAAACCACCACCTTTTCAGATTTCTCAAAAAGAAGTATTTTTCTACAGTATCAGCAACCTTTACTAGCAGTCAAGACCAACTGGCCTCGTTTACTCAAATATATATTACCCTATTGTTTTGTTCTTTAATATTGTGGTTCTGAGTAATTAAACTGTCCAATTTTCACTTTTTCATTATAGAATAATAATTATACTTGTAAATGCTATCAAAGTGTACACATTTAGCCCATCACCTCAATTAATTTTTGAATCAAATACATGTTCAAATCCTTCAGGATTATGTTATGTCTGTCAAAGTGTTGATAATCCATTGGTTGTATTTCCTGGACGACGACCTGGTGTTGTATCATTAGTTCATATTGGAAATACTGGTTGTAACGTCAATCTTAATAACAACGCAAATAATAACAATCCTGGGAATGTTACTAACAATAACAGTAATACTACTAATAATAATAATATTGGAAGTACAAATACAATATCCATCAATACTATTTGTCCATCATCAACAAATGCTACTAATATGCCACCAAGACAAATAATTGCACATGAAAATCCACTTGCATCAATCACTTTAAATCGTGATGGTTATCTACTGGCAACAGCATCACAAAAAGGCACATTAATTCGTATATTTTCTACAAAAGATTGTACTTTATTACATGAATTACGACGTGGCACTAGTCAAGCTACAATTACATCATTATCATTTAATAAAGATAGTGATTTATTATGTGTTACCAGTGAACGTGGTACTGCGCACATATTTTGTCTTACAAAAGATTCTTTAACTAATCCTCGTAATATTCAAATTAGTAGTAGTAATAGTATTAGTAGTAGTAGTAATAGTAGTAATACTAGTATCAATCATAACCATAGTCCTCACTTGACAAAATCTTCAGGATTTGGGTATGTCGTTGTTGTTGTTATTTGCTTAATTGTTTATTTTGTCGTACTTTTTCAAAACGATATGTATATATGAGTGTGTTTAAAATTAAGTGTAAAATGAAATTCGATCAAGTAGGTGACTCGAGTTATATCCTCTAATGAGATACAAATATATAGCAGTTTGAATCGCATCTGAATGTTTACTTTGTGCGATGTAGAGAAGGAGAGAGGAAGTATGAAGAGCAGCACATATGTGTGGAAGTCCGAAATAAAGAAGAACAAGAGAAAAAATAAGTCGACAACTCAATCAGCACATAGGATGCAATTGCATCTAATTAATGGAAGAAGTCGATGATAGTTAGCAGTAACACAGATATGATATTAAGACAATCTGATAATTAAAACTAAGAGTTGTTAAAGTAAGATTTTGAATGCCACTACGTCAAAACATTCTATTCATAAAAAAGTCACCTATATTGTGTGTAAATATTGATGATACAAATTAGTTATTCACCTTATTTACTTTAGTATACTAGAAATGTGAATGAGATGTGATGTATGATGATTGACGATATCATGATACTGTTTAGACAATACATAGGTAACAGTTGTTCTAACCGAGAGGTGGAGGAGTGGTGTACGTTGACCACTGAATGATTGATTAATCGGTGAGTATTTGTGAATGTCATGTTTGTCTAGTGGTTAGTACTGATCGAATGGAGTTGGGATGCGGTGACTGGTGTAAGTGAATAAACATTGTGTGAACGATAATTGAATATTGTGTTGTTGGATGTAGTTTTTATGACACCTGATTTGATCTAGGTTTCATGCTATTCGGTACTCATTAGCAAGACGTACCTTCAGTCTTGTAGGAATTGATGCTTCATGTAGGATTTGAATCTGTGTCACCCATTCTCATAGTCTGAGACATTATCACTAAACAATTTATATATACGACTCTACCCCTTAGTAAATTAATCCATTTCTTAGCCAGTGAAATGAACTTGTCCTTCAGGCCACTTCTGATTGCCATCTGTTGATCTTCTCATTAGACTACTTCTGATTGGCTTACCATACCACTTTTCCCTCTTGAAAGATAAGTCTTGCTCCTTGGATTTAACTGAAGGCGTTGGGGGATATGTCTTCTTCATGATCTCCTTGGGTTCTGACCATCAATTCTTCTGCACTGATCTTGTCGTTCCAAACTAATTGTATCAACTAAATAATCTAGTGGCAAGTTTGAACTAGGGGGTTCTTTATTCGAATCTAGTCGCCTATAGTGGATGCGGTTTACATATCGCGTCAGACATTTACCTCGAACATCAATTTCGTACATTACGTCACCGAATTTTCACACGATGACACTCGCTATCCACGTAGACCCCCATTGTCGAAAATTTCTTGTATACATTGGTAACCCATTAGGAACCGAACGTTCGATTCTCCTCACCGTGGATTTATATCCTCATTTTCTTTGTGGATACATGCTATCAAATAATGTCCAAGTCTTCCTTCTGAACGTTGATTCAGTAGGGTAGACACCACTGGATGAGGCTGAATTCGGGGTTATTCTGTATGCTTATTTTAAACACAGCGCGGTATCGACTGAGCTGTTGAGCTCAAGTTTCAATTGGTTTATATCATGAATGAAAAAATAGGAATATCAAAGTAATTCGCTCAGAATGCATACAAACCAATAATGGTTGGTCATTTATACTCCCCAGTATCAATAACCTGAAGATGCAAACTCATAGTAAGCAGAAATTAGTATTATTTCTCAAAAGTTTTCTTAAGTTATATGCTCTTCGACAGAGAGATATAGATATTTACTCATGTATTGTGTTTCTTTTAGAATAAAAAATAAGTTTCTTGGTGTGTCGTTTTTATGCTACTTGAAATTTCTACTTTCAGTTCCGGTAAACTCTCTCTACGTTCTCTATTTTCTACTACAAGCCATATACGATGTGTTTTGGAAACGAAATTCAAAGCTATATGTGCTTTCAGTTCTGTCAGTCCTGATACTTTAATAGGTAAGTTTCAAAAGCAGACATTTACTAAGTAATGAATAAAACGCTTTGCTTTTACCCGTAATGTTTATCCGTAGGTTGTTTTATTTATAACTGATTGATCTCAGTTGGTGTATTATTGAAAGCCAAAGAGAACGAGACAGATGTTCCATCTTTGTTTGCAGACATTTCAAGAGTGGTTATCTATGACTATATCATCAGGTATCAAATTCCTTGACCTTCAGGTCCCGCGGCGAACGCTTAGTTGTTAGGATCATGGGATCAGTGTCCAATCAAACAGTAAGGTGCGTACTGTTGAAATTAGTCCTATACTAACACGAAATAGCTGTCTTAACAGTTCTCCCTAGTTTTCAATGGTATTCCAAATGAGTTGATTATGGGATGAACATAATCTATAAATCTAACCAATCTTCACTAAACTCATTTCAACTAAACTATCATATTCAATCCTTTTATTATTTATCATCATAAATCCACCAGTAATTAGTTGTAGATGTTTTATTTATTGTCAAGTAATTAGACCACTATTCATCTGTTTGACTAACTGCTTGTATAAACAGTTATTCTGTTCAAAATTGTCCGTGTCTTAAATAAAACAAAAATGTTTTGATCAATTATAAATTATTGAATAGAAAAGTTATTCAAACAGCAGCATTATTTATCCTACAGGAAGGTGAAATTATTATGCCGGCAAAACATATTGTTCAGTTTCAATAGTCGATTATTTCATCAATGTATTATTTCAAGATTTTTCATTCGTTTTTCTTTCTACAAATCTAATTATAAGTGCACTTGTCACTCTTACGCATTTATCGTAGTATATTTAATACACATAATTGACAGAGCTCTAGAAAACTTATCATTGTTGCATGTGTGATTTCTTTATAGCTTTAAATCGATTGGATCAAGTGGTGTTAGTTAGTTAGCTACACGATATGGCATAACAATCTTCCGATACTATTGGTGCATAAGTGTTCAGGATCGCGAATTGATTAAAGTTACAAGTATAAATCATTACATACCGAACCAATGGTCTGAAGGTTGAACGCTTTTCACGAAACCTGAAGGTCCTGAGTCCGATCCTCGGCTGTGTCGTGGTTGCGCACAACAGCTGTATCATACTAGGACGAAACAGCTGTTCTGCGCTTCCACATTCTTAATAATTATTTAAATAAGTCAAGTCAGTGATGTCAACTATCTCCGTAAGCCCGTCACACTAGTTAGTTAGTTAGTTATTGAGTTAGATGATCTCAGCACTTTCAAATTAGTCTCGTCACCCAACCTTATCAATCAGGAATGTATCGTTTAGAGCTCTAAACTTTCAATTATTGGCCCCGAGGTTCAAACCAAACTCTGTCTCTGTTGGTCTAAACAACCTAGTAGTATCACCATCAGTAATTAAAAAGATTTATGTTCAAGACTTTAGTGAGTTATACTAGTTAAAGCTTTTCAGTACTGTAGATTTACCACAATTTACGAGTACTAATTCCTTAGTATTTTAAGCTTAACGTTGCTTTAAAACTATGAAAAGATAATAATTAAACATGTAACTGGTAATTACTATTTACAGAAAACACAGTTTTACAATTACAATTGTAATCTGCATAAAATTACAATTGAATTGTTACTAATCGGCCCTAACCACACAATAAAAGTTGTCTAGTTGGATTACTTAAATTCTATACTCCACGATGAAACCGAATGTGGAACGAAAAATGTCTATCTTACACAAACAACCAATTAATCATCATCTGCATTATTGGGTTTTATTTAAATTGAATTACTGTCAAATTCTTACTATTGTAATGAGCATTTTATTATCATAATTACAAATCAAACAAACATATTCCTAATTTTATTGTTGTCTTCATATGATATTCAAGTTAATTATGATAAGAACAAATAATTATTGTGTCCACTTATTGATTAATCCTCCTTCTATCAAATGTAGCATTAGTAACTTTCTACTTTTACCAACGAGAATGACCAATGAACAGTGGATGAAACTTTTGATCATTGAACTCCTTCCAACTCAGTGTCCAAATAAGCACAGAACAGAATTAGCGAACAGATATCTTCTCTATATTGTACAATTATCATCATGACTCAAAACGCATATAATAATATGGACCACACATCGATTTAAATAGGAAATTATAGTGTGTTCATAAAGACATCATAACTGAAAAAGAAATCTAATAATAAAGTCTATAAATAATTAACAATAACTTAGGGAAGGTAAAACGGTGAGAACATAATTTATGAACAACCTAAGAGAAACACTAAAATGACCTTGAGAATGCCCACCTGATTGCAAACTATAGCATAGTCACAACTAGTTTGAGTTCCGATTCATATCTGATAACGCTGTATGATTTTCGCGAACAGAATCGGTGGATCTACCAAGTTATAAATCATTTCCATTCGGTACATGTGTTATGTATGCTTAACCACAGTTTACCGCGACGGGCTATGTTTACGGATGTAGGACAAAGTTGGAAGAAAGCTAAGGTCGGTCAAAAGATAACATGACATCAGTCGATAAAGTCATTGCTTTTTCCACTGGACCGTGTTGGTAGGTGCCTACTACTTGGTTGGAATTCTCACTATAACCGTTATTAGCGGTTTAAGACATTAGATTATATGGCTCGGAATCAGTTACAATGCCCGAGGTTTGTTCACTCTTTATTTTCATCCATATCTTAAGAACCACTATTCCTTCATACATACCTTTATTATCCCATCTTTTTAAAGCGTATTCTGAAATAAGGTGGTGGTTGGAAATAGTCAACAGGAAACCCTGAACCCGGGTTTCGTGCTACTTGGCACTCGTCAACAAGGTGTACCTGTAATCTTGAGGGGACTGACGCTCCCTGATGGATTCGATCCCGTGTCACCCAGCTTCGCAGTCAGAGATGTTACCACTGGGCTATCCGGGCTGTGACTGACCTCCTGTGGGACTGAGATGTATTCACAATTGATAGATCACTGGGTGGTGATCAATGTCATATCCTCCTTCAACATAGTGCACACATGTGAAGTCACCTAGACTAGTGGCCACATTGCTACATGGTCGATAGCATTCGATCTGCACTAATAAGGACCTGACACATATAACACTGATCACCACCAAGTGATCAATCAATTGTGAAGGCGTATTCTCTTGAATGTTCATTCTTATTTTCATTGTTACTACCTTATTTCAATCTGCTTTACTATTCATCTCATTAATTTCATCTCGTTGTGGTAATGTGGTGTGGCAACTTGAGCTAACGCTCATATTCGAAAGGCTCCAACCCACTAAATTTAACGTTTTAAAGTGATGTTATTTATTCAATGGTAATTTTTACTATTAACAGAATTCATGTTATCGAATTTCAACACTGCTTACACAGTATGAGTGACTCTTTGAATACAACAATGCTTAAACTAAGGATTCATTCCTTAACTCGAAGATGATGTTTTACAATTGTAGCGCAAAACGTGATTACTCGTATCGTACCGTTGCACACTCTACCTTTCATAACCACCGGACTAATAGTGTGATGGTTTGTCAAAGTGCCATTTGTCTCTCTGTCTTTTACTTCATGAAGATTGACCTTATCTGATACACCTTCACGCATTTTATGCTTTTCATTTATATTTTCATTGGCTTTTACAAAATATTATTTCCATAGTTCCGTCTATGTAACATGTACTAATCATTTCCTAAATTTCAGTTATCTAAGAAATCAGGGACCTGTCCTGTATATGTATCGCGTAGAGCATTAGCGGGTTCAGTGGTTAAGGCATTTGGTTTCCATCCACCAAGTCACAAGTTTGAATCCAGCTCTATTCACTTCGATTAGGACAGCTATGTAGTATCACCAGTCCCCTATACTTAGTGTGTAGTTTGAAGCTAATTACACAAATTTGTACTTAGTAAATAAGTGTCAGTTCATGTTACCTTACATCTAACGCTAGCAAAACCTTAGCAGCAAAGGAAAGACAAGTTAAGAGGTATAAAACATACAACTTGAAAGGAATAAATAAGTTCAAAAAAGTCCAGAGTATGGGAATATGCTTAAAGATTTGGTTAGAGATGAAGAATGAATGCCACTGCAGCAATGCAAGTAATTTTGAACTTAATTCGTCATAACTTTATGGGGGATCTGAGCAGATGTGAGGGCGCGGATCGGCAAAGCAAGAGCAGCATATTTACAACTGAGGAACATCTGGAACTCAAAGCAACTGTCAACCAACACCAAGGTCAGGATTTTCAATACAAATGTCAAGACAGTTCTACTATATGGGGCAGAAACCTGGAGAACTACAAAAGCCATCATCCAGAAAATACAGGTGTTTATCAACAATTGTCTACGCAAAATACTTCAGATCCATTATGTAAATTTATGTAATTTTTATTCTAAACAGTACAAGGATATATTTCATAGACGTGGTCTCTCATAGTTTTTCTAAAGACAAACTATATGTTTGAATGAATGAAACAAAATACTAACCTAACCACTAATCACATGACTACCAATCGACAGATCACCTTTCTGCTGATTGATTGATCATGGAATAGTAGTGGCCAATCAATGTAAACACGTCAGTTCTACCGTTGCTCTGTTGTATTTCAAATAATTCAGTTGTATTGTCTCGAAACTAGGAAGTTGGTTGATACAGACTGAAATCCCACTAGAAATATCAATCCCCTCTAAACTGTATCTACACACTGTTGATACGATTTCCAACTAATAAATACTAAAGTCGAGTGGATATTTCTTATCCGACTATATTCAACCATTAAACACTTATTACTTTTTATGGATTGATCCCTAAATATTTTTTTATTGTTAAACCATTATTATTTCTATTTCTAACTTGGTTCTGTTTTCCCTTCATCGCTTCTTTTTCTTCCTCTTTCCTAAATAGTTTTATCCGCAGATGGATCTTACTACAAGTACACATTCACAGCAAATGGTACGGTAACACGTGTAACATTTGTAAACTTTCTAGATTTCTATGATGATGAAACAGATTTCTAATTTTGTCAATGTATTTATTTCTTTGATAATTTAAATACTAAGTAATTGTGTTTTTGATAGCTTATCCTATCGGTTCTTTTTCAATTCATGTTAACATAGATTGAATAAATTTAATTCTTCCGTAGTTACTGCTGATTGTTATTATTATTATTATGCCACCTCTCTTTCTCTCTCCGTATATATGTTTGTGTGTGTGTGTGTGTGTTTGTGTATGTGATTATTTATCCAGTTGTTTTTTACTTTTTGTTCTACGTTTGTGATTTGTTTATTTATTTTTTCTAATTGAACACTGTGGGGTTTTTTTGTCTTTCCGCGCTTTCTTCATCATGATATATTATACATTTGTAAACTCTGTTTTATACAATGTGAATTTATGAAAAAACGGGTAAGAATGTGTATTATTATGAATGAAAGTAGTAAAGATGTAAAACAATGATTATTGATTATCTTGTTTTTCTACGATTTTCAGTTGTCATTATATGTGAAAATTATATTTGAAATATTCTCAGCGATTGAAATTTAACTAATTCCAACGTTTCGTCCAGCTAACTTGTCTGGACTTCTTCAGGGTAATAATCAAAATCAAAATTATCAAAGAAATATATAGCTTTTAACAATCATATCAATCTCTCACACATGCATACGTACATACACACTCACACACATACGATTTGTTACTCAGTTAAGTATTTCCATGTAGTTGAATTCATCACATGATTTGTAGTCAACTGACTCATTTTATCCTATTTTACAAAAAATCAACACCCAAATATGATTGGTTTAACACAGTATAATCCTGATTGTTAAAAGCTATATATTTCTTTGATAATTTTGATTTTGATTATTACCCTGAAGAAGTCCAGACAAGTTAGCTGGACGAAACGTTGGAATTAGTTAAATTTCAATCGCTGAGAATATTTCAAATATAATTTTCACATATAATGACTTCTCTATACTCGGCGCTCAATTACTGTCAAACTATTCGTTCTAATCTTGACGAATATTCGTATAGATTTTCAGTTGTGTTTTTATTTATTTTTAGGTAATACTAAGCTTTTCTTTAGTGATTAGAAAATAAATGTTAATCGCCACGTACTTCTCTGTGTAATGTTGTTCAACGGTAAAACATTATGAGAGAGCTAAGAGTAGTCAAACTAAGATGAGATCAAGCCATTTGAATATCAGTTTGAAACTGTAGCAAAATTTGTGATCAAGGTCTCACTTGATGGTTATAATCAATGGTTTAAAAATTGTGAGTGATGTTGGGACACATATGCATCGAATCTTCATCGTTTATCAAAAATCCCTAAAACTGAGTAAAATTTGTAACTGTATCAGATACAATAGAAGAAATTCATACAATTTGTGTAAACATAAATTGACCACATGAAGAAAAGTTTTGTTAGTAAGCTTAATTAGAACAATGTTTACACCTTTAATATCTCTATAATTTCATTTATGAATTGTGATGTAATCATTGGCGTAAGCAATTTCTCAGACAACATGAGAAGACAAAACATTTTTCTAATGTATCACATATTTACAACAATGATGTTCTATTCTATATGGTAATTATCGACTTTTTGCACCTATATTCGTAGTGTTGTTCTCATTGAGGTCTGAATACAGCAATTATTATTAAAACACTAGGATATCGATCGACTTTCTCAAAGTAAACTGACAAATATTCATGAATTTGAAGATGACATTGTAATATGTCAATCGATTGCAGTTAGATCAGATTTTCTCTGAAGCCGAGATGAAAGTAAGAAATACAAGTGTTGGTAGATTATTACAAATCAGTAAATTATTTACCGAACGATAGTCTTTATCCACTTATCCTCATATGAATCATTTGCATAAGTTAAATGATTTGCTAAATAAATGTCTTTTAGTTTGTTTATAACTGAATTTCTATATTAACTCTTATCTGTATTTCGGTTGTAGAGATATAATTAGCATATCCTCAAAAAATAGATTGTAACTCACAGTATTTTGTAATTTACCTTCCAGTGCTCCTACTTATTAAACCTTCCGACACTACATGTTTTCTCGATTTTATGTTGCTGTCAAATACGCCCAACTTTTTTCGCTGATTGATTAATAGGTATTAACCAATATTATTGTTTATTATAAACCTTAGTGTCAATCAATTTGGAATATGATCACCAGTTTGAGTGACTTGACGAGTGGCAAATATACACGACATGCAGGTTTATAGCTTTATGATATGATTCTCTCAAACTACTCATTTTGAGATTTATTGATGGGTTTTTTTTTAGCTTTTGTTTTTTACAGCCTAATCGATCTTATTTGATAAGTTGAATAAATCCTTTAGTCAAAAAAAAATTTGACAATTCTCTCCGGATTAACTTACAATAGGCAAGACACATTAACATTACATAACTTGCTATTTTAAAAGTACTATTTAAGTAAATATATTTTCTATGTAATTCCTTATTAAGCTTTACAACTGTAAATATTTTATCAGATAGTTTACAACCCGTGAATGATAACAAGAAAAATCAATCGTGTATATGCAGTGATTATAAGCTTGTTTAGAATAATTGTGTATGTATGTATGGGGGAAGCAGGTAATGAAAAAATCTTCTCATGTAGCATTAAATTACAAAATAGATGATTTTTTTTTATATGATGTATAGATAACATTAAGACTATAACCTTATGGAGTTGTTGAGTTTTACTGAAATCATGAACCTATCGAAGTTAGACAACCATTGAAAATATGGAATCACTGGACAGTCATTTTCTTCTAGTATGGGACTCCTCAGTAGTGTACATGCACGACTTCACAGCCGGGAATCGAACACGAGGCCTTTAGTTTCGTGCATGAATACTTAACTTCTAGACCACTAAGTCGGCACTCAAAGGTGTTAATGTCTAACTTCAGTCAATCCACTACATTGCGCGATCATCTTCAATTATCTTCGATGGGTAAGTGCCTCATACCTAAGAGAGATTAGCTTAACTGCCGACGTCTTCTCATCAGAAGTCCTGAAATTTCCTCTCGGAGCTAGTCATTAGTCAGTACATAATAATTCTTGGTAAGATCTTGTGAAAAGAAGCTTGGCCGCTAACTTATCCTCGAACTCACGTTTAATCGTAGACAAGAGCTTGAAGATAGGTTGCCTATAGGAGTGCAGCTTAAAATAGCACAGGGTAAATTGTGCAAATCAGAGTGAATGATTTCTCAAAGTTTAAGACACTAGACTTTAATGGGAATAGCAGACACAAAGTGGAAAAATTATTATCTGAACTCTGATTGGGGAATTATGCATGTATTGTTGATTAACGTTTCGCAAGACGTAACAGTTATCACCCATTATCACAGCTTATCTGCACTCTTCAAGGGGTGTATCCTCCCTATGGAATTGGTATTCATGTCAACTTAAAGAGAAAAACATATACTGATAACTCAGTATGCACATAGAATGCAATTACATCTAAATAATGGAAGAATTCGATATTAGTTAGCATTGGCACGGATGTGATATTAAGACAATCTGATAATCAAAACTAAGAGTTGTTAAAGTAAGATTTTGAATGCCACTACGTTAAAACATTCTATTCATAAAAAATGTCACCCGTATTATGTGTGAATATTGATGATACAAATTAGTTATTCACCTTATTTACTTTAGTATACTAGAAATGTGAATGAGATGTGATGGTATGATGATTGACGATATCATGATACTGTTTAGACAATACATAGGTAACAGTTGTTCTAACCGAGAGGTGGAGGAGTGGTGTACGTTGACCACTGAATGATTGATTAATCGGTGAGTATTTGTGAATGTCATGTTTGTCTAGTGGTTAGTGCTGATCGAATGCCTTAGATGAAGTTGGAATGTGGTGACTGGTGTAAGTGAATAAACATTGTGTGAACGATGTTTGAATATTAGGTTGTTGGATGTAGTTTTTATGACACCTGATTTGATCTAGGTTTCATGCTATTCAGTACTCGTTAGGAAGGGATGTTTAGTCATTTAGATTAGCGACCATAATGTAGTTTGACTGATAGAAATTAATCTACACTATTAGGTAAGCAAACATGAAATTGGTCACTATTAAGTGGTCAGTCAATGTGAAATGCCACTTTATCGATCATTGCAGTTCCAAATGATTTAATTAAATATTACTAAGTGTAGTTATAATATAGTGAAAACTGACCGCAGATAAATATTTATCTTAACACTTTTTATAAATTATAACAGTCGAAATTGTGGTAAATTCAACGTTTATAAAAAAAAGTGTTTTTGCAGAAACATTTTCAGCTTGATCAATGTTGTCATTTTGTATAGAATAACATAGAGAATTCAATAAAATTCATCCAAACAATACTATGTGAATAAGATAATATTTTGATATGAGTTAACGATTCTGATATTTTGTTGAGATCTGTTCGTCGAACAAATAATCGATGGTCGAGGAATCGTTGAACATTGAGCAGCTGTAATGACTTGACAGAATACTGGTTCTTGCACATGTTTTGAACTGCGGACATGATTGTTTACTTACTACTGTATAAGGGAAAAAACACGGATATTGTTTGATTAGCAAGAAGAAAGGTAAGACCGATGATGAAGTGTTTATTGTATACTAAACACAGTTGATCAAAACAACATGTAATATTATTATAAGACGTATTTCATTCAAATATCCAGTCAACAATCAAATCTGAAATCATTGGACTGGTGGTAAATTACATTGCATTAATCAATAATTCAATGTGTGTGAGTGCATATTTTACAGTATAAATGAATTATCTGCTTTAACTAATCAATATAACTAAATTACTGAATAACATAATTGTACCCTCGTAACAGTAACGCGGTATGACTATTCGATTTAAGTATAAGACTGGACACTATCGTTCATTTTTTATTTCTTACAGAGTAAACCGTACGACTGTTAACTTTGAAACTGAACGCGTCTTAGTTTTCTTTCATATGCCTTTAAACTTTTCGTAATTAATTGAAATATGTCATGAATGATGTTGTTCAGTGTGGCAGTTAAACAATATTACACTAAGATTAATCCAGATAGCTATTAACTACGTGACTGTTCTGTTTAATGTGAATATTGAACACTCTAGCAAATTATTTGTTCAATGGTGTTGAGATAATGATTTGCACACCATTAACAATGATATAGAGTAGGTCACTTGTCATGGAATGGATTAGGCATATTTTAACTCTCACAACTAGTAAATTGTATACGACATATTATTAATTATTCAGTGATAAGTTTGGCAATTATAATACTTGATTCAAAATGTGACATTATTCAATATAAAATTAAAATGCAGTGAATAAACGGTTTAGTTATTGTACACCTCAAGTATTTGATTAACATTTTTATTTGTTTGTGGTAAATTCTCATAAGAGACAATTCTGTTGATATATCGAATTGATAC